AACCAAGCAAAAGAAAGAAAGCACAGCTGTGTTTTGTAGAAAGGAAGTTTGCATGCATTCACTGTGGGCTAAGCTGCTTTCACTCTGTGCACTCTGTTCTTGGGAGTAATCACTGACAACCTGCAGCTCCAGTATGAAGAAATGACATAAGTACAAGGTAATGCCAGTCCTTTTTTTTTCCCTGCAAGACTATTGCTTCACTTTCTGACAGTGAATTGGTTGGCTTGGCTAAAAGGATTTATGGTAGTGAGTGCTGCATGCATATTGCCCTTTCTTTAATACCTCATGACAGGAGGGGAGTTGTTAACAAGAATAGGAGCCCAGCAGTAACCAGGAAGCACTCTCAGTTCTGCTTAACAGCCTTTCTGGAGCCATGGAAAATAGTCCAGGAGTCAGTACAAACACTCTCAGATGAGTCACAAGCAATCTGTAAGAGCAGTCTGGGTGCAGAGCTCTGAACAGGGCTCCAAGCCTTGATTTTAGCATAAATGTGAGGTGTTAGAGTGCTTGAAAGCCAAAAGGGAGCATCTTTATGAATGTAATGGAATATCGTTGTGTCTCAGTCATTTGGCTGTGGCAGAGGCCGTGGGGAAAATGAATGCATGTATTTTACAACACCTCTCAGATATGCTGTTGTGATTTGGTACTACTGTATGTTCATTTCCCTGCACTGTAATGGTAAAATAAATGAGACCAGCCTGTTTTTTTGCTATGCTGGGTAGTTAATCATCGTACATCAGAGTTACAAAAGTCTTTTAATACTCCTGGTGATAACCTTTTAGTCTCTGATAATGAGAGTTTCCTGCAAGGGGAGATGCACGAATCTCATGGTGACACTGTTAAATAAATTAAAATAATGTATGCCTGACTCCATTCTCTGAAATGCATTTTTCTCTCAAGTGTTCCACTGAGGATAGGTCAAATGCTTTCATCTGCCTTATTCATTTTTAATTCTCAGAGTGTGTTGATATTAGCATCTTTGCTGCAAAGCAGAAGGGAAGTGGTAATTTTAATGATAAATTGCACCTGAAAAACGACAAACTTGTTTTTCTTTGTAAATAAAGATTTTATTTCATATTTAGTTGTTTGTCCCCTGAAACATGCATGCTCAAATTCAAGTAGGAAATTATGCTGTCTCTTTATTGCTGGAGTAAAGAGATTCCTACAGTCCTGTCTGTTTTAGATTGTTCTTGTTAGCTGTACATTCTGGCACCATAAAGAGCTTCATGGGGAAAGAAAGGTGAAACCATTCATGTCTCATGCCAGTTATTTTCAGTACCTACCTCTTTCTCTGAGTCTTTGCCCTTCTTGGCAGCTGATTTCAGTTGTGATGATGTTGGAGATTGGTTATTAAAAAACTGTTTCTTCCAGCTGTCTTGTTTTCACAATGAGATAAAAATACTTTCATTCTGTCTTAGTAAATTAGAATGAGATGAGATGTGATGGAGTGGAATGGAATGGAATAATTTGGTTGGAAGGAATCTTAACTGACCATCAAGTCCAAGTGCCTGACCACTTCAAGACTAACCAAAAGTTAAAGCACATGACTGAGGGCATTCTCCAAATTCTCCTTAGCCACTGACAGCTATGGTGCGTCAATCACCTCTCTAAAAAGCGTGTTCCTGTGTTTGACCACCCTCACAGTAAAGAAATGTTTCTCAGCATGCTGTCTCATCTTCCCTTGGCACAGTTCTGACCCATTCCCACACACCTGCTGTCAATTTCCAGGAGCAAAGCCCAGCACCTTCCTCTCTATTTCCCCTCCTCAGAGAGCTGCAGAGAGCTACTCCTCAACCTTTCCTTCTCCAGACTGGGCAACCCATGTGTCCTCAGCCTCTCCTCACAGGACATGCCTTCCAGACTTTTCAGAAGCTGGGGTTAAATCAGTTTTCTCCTTGGTAGTCGTGGCAAGTACTTGGCAATAAGCTACCTAGAAAATACGTGCAGACAAGGAAAGGGGAGTGGTGAGGAGGAGGAGGATGTTCATCTCCATATCCTTCTGAGAATAAAACAGAACTTCAGTCTTTGCCTTATCCTTTTTCAAAGGATAAAAAATTCCAAACTGTCAAAAAGCTGCTGTTGTCTTTGGCTTAAGACAGCCTAAAGCAACGTGTCTGCACATTTAGATAGCAAACACAGATCTTCAGATGGACAGCTCCTTCTTTGGTGATTATAAGTACTTCAGGCAGGTGAGAAAATGAATGTGTTTATTTTTGGAGTTGGGGGTCTTAGGATGCAAACCTTCTTTTGGAGGTAAGCATAGCACAGACTTTTTACTCAGCTGTCCTCCTGGTGATTGGGAACATGCAGTATTAGAAGCAGCTTGCAAGTAGAGCTTGAGTTCCATGATAGCAAGTCTGGTGAATTTAAAAGTTATGTCCTGCAGTATCGTCTTATGCAGAGCCTGAGAGAAAGTATAATATTTCAGTGCACTGTCAATTCCAAAATAAGGAGGGGTAGAGTATTATTACAATTTGGAACAGAAGTACTAATGATTTGATTTTTTGCCAATATGAGAATTTTACAAAAATAATGTTTCAATCAGAAGAAGTTGTTTTGCATAAACATAAAATTTTCAAGCCATTTCCTTAAAAATATTCTGGATATCTCAAGCATTAATTTGTGTTCCTCAAGCCCAGTTCTCCTGTTATGAGGTTACTACAAATCAGCCAATTCTTCTGCTGGTACAAAGCCTCATTTCTGCATTCAGAGCTGTTTTTGCACTTCTCCATCC